TCCACCACATCAGCTGTCTGAAAGGCAGCGAACGCCATTGCAGACACCCCACCAACCTGTCTTTGGACGTGAAATGTCCTCTCGTACGGGCGAAACCGGCACACATTTCCCCATTGACAAATGTTAAAACTGGTCATAAGCTCTGCTGACGGTCGCCGCAGTTGCAGAGCTAATGGAACCTCGTAAAGGTGATGGTTTTTATGGTATCTACGTTAGGTTCGATCAGACGAGACCTCATATAAAGCCCAAACAGCATTGTGCCGACAATGGTAGGCATGCTCCGTTATAACGTTAGCTTGCTGTGAACAACGCGAGTGACAAACTCGTGAGAAAACCCGACGGTTTTTGGCAGGGTGTGATTGCTACGTAAACGCTAACTAATGGCACCCAGCATCACATGTGATTTCGAGGAACGAGTTTTGTTCATTATGCTCAATGTTTCCATTCAACATAATCCCATTATATCGCGGGAGACCCATTATGTTTAATGCTTTGGTATTCATCAGAATCGAGCAGTCGTCCGTTTTTCGTACGCTCTAGAGTTTAACGGACTTTTGGCGGAACCTCTGACGGAAACTTCAAGGTCCAACCCATCCCGTTGACCTTTTCCCACCACTTCCACGAGGCCACCGTTCCGGCATAGTCAGCGCAACATCCACCCATTGTTTTGTCGGTGTTGGTCAACCCGACATCGGCGGGATTCATCGAGCGGGGAACCACGTGATATGTTCCAACTTTGCGAACTTCCCCGTCTCATATTTTCTTTTTTTGTGTGTGAAAAATTGTGATTAGTTTTCTCGTATACGTTTAACCTCTTCAAGGTTCTCTTCTTTTCTCCTCCTCTTCAACCGCGTGGGACTGATACTGACCTCTTTAATTCTCTGTCTTGGCGTAGACACCATCTCTACCATTGAATGAAAGTGCCTCATACACAAAAATGTATTTGCATCAGTAAACCTGCGAACTTTGCAGGGCAAGGAACAAGTCCACAAGGTGTCGGCAATTGCATTGCACCCAGACTCTTTGTATCGAACGTTTTATTTTACATCACGTCATCAACATACAAACATCCATTCCATCGCCATAAGTTGGCATAATGCTACAACCAACGTCGTCCATCGCCACCACATCGCCCCCCGCAGCTTCTTTAAGATGATTCTCTAAACGTACGTCCTACGTCTCGCACGTCTCGTACGTCTCGTACGTCTCGTACGTCTCTAAACGCACCGCCGGATCACGCGCACGCAAACCTCCTGCAGGTGGGTGACCCCCAAACGGCCCATCGCACGGACGCGGGCGATGTTCAGTCCCTCTGTCGTGCGAGGTTTGTGGACAGACCATCATTAAAGCGGGCTGCGTAGCTCACATGTATTCATGTGGGACGGCCCCATATGAAGAAATCGGCAGGAATGAGGTCTGGCGAGCTGAGGGCCCGTGGAAGAACCCTCTCGCGGCTGGCGTGGCGGTTCAGAACATGGGAAAGCAGCCGGTCGAGTGAGCCCCAAGCGGCGTGCGGAGCCGTGACGCCCTTCCGCACCCATTTCTGATTGCGGCCGAGGCGACTTCAGTCTGAGCTCAAGCTTTCTCCAGAAGGCCTCGAGCGGGCCGTCGATGTAATGCTCGTGGCTGATCGTGGCTGAAATGTAATGACGTGGCTGCTCGTCGCTGATGGTGAGGACTCCAACCTGCACGCCTTCGAAGAGGAATCAAACGAACGCTCCCTCGTCGATCGCGTTTGCCAAAACCTCGCACAGGAGGTGCGATGTTTGTGATCCTCATGCGCACCTCCACTGGAGGTGCGATCGCGGCCTCCAGTGGAGCTGGAGGCCGCGATCGTCTGTGAGGCGGGCTGAGACGCAGCTCAGATGGTGTATGACGTCTTCATCAACCTTCAGACCAACTTGCCCATGGTCCTGCGACGCTGGGCGCCGTGTCTAGAGCATTAAAAAGCTGCTACGAGACGGTCTCATGGCCGATGGTCGACGTTGTTAAAAAATAGTTATATCTGTACAATACATACACACGTATATGTATATATGCATGTATATAAACTGTATTATGCCCAACTGCGATGTGTCCAATGATATCTGCACTTCCATCATACGATGCTTGGTAAAGTGTTTTAAGAGAAGTGCTTGTTTGCTGTTTAAGAGTGCGCTTCATTCTTGAACACTCTGCATTTCTTGCGTCTCTTTTTCTCCATGCCACGCGGCAGCGTCGGTGTCAGTGTTTTTTTCAAACTTGGGCTGCTGCCCTCACTTCCATTTTGCCGTTCCAATAGACCAGAGATTGAGAGGGCGGGTGGTTACAGATCGAGCAGAGCTTGAGAGGGCGGGCGGTTACAGATCGAGCAGAGCTTGAGAGAGCGGAGGTCATAGGCAGGGCAGAGCCTGAGAGGGCGGCTGTTATAGGCAGAGCAGAGCTTGAGAGGGCGGTGCTTACAGACAGAGCAGAGCTTGAGAGGGCGGGCGGTTACAGGCAGAGCAGAGCTTGAGAGGGCTGGCGGTTACAGTCAGTATCGTTGCAGGATCTGCTTCGGTTTCGTGCCGGCAATCCCGGTCCACCAGCGTCATCAGCTGATTCGTTCCTAGTCTACGTCACCAGCTGAGCCGCATCAGCTGAGCATCATCAGCTGATTCGTACCGTATCTCGCCACGCGGTGAGCGCAGAGGGCAATCCAGGCCCCGACTCGGAGGCGGCGCGGCGTGATGAACTTGCCGCGCGATTCGATCGTGATGTCTCGGGGCGGTCAGGGGCGCACTTGGGACTGTACAGTGGGACGGTGTACTCGGCTGGCGCAAAGGACGCTCCACTGCGGGGCTCGGCCGAAGGCGGTTGGAGGTGCGCACGCTGGACGCCGCGCGAGCACCGTTCCCCCCCCCCCCCTCCCTCGTGTCGATGCTGTGTACGCCCCTGTCGCGAACGACGCGGCGCCTCAATTTGGCACCCGCGACGGAAACCAAATCATGGCGCGATCCGACGCCGTCGAATCAGCCAATGACCGTGCCGCGATGCCTGGGGCGTTATTCGGGCCCCCTCTCCGCATCGGGCGGGAGGTAGCCGGCTCAATCACAGGCGAGCCTTCCCTGCCGTTCGCTGCGGTTTTTGCCTGGCGCCGCGGGGTCTCCACCCAGCCGGTTAAAAGCTCTGCCGGTCGCTCTGATGGACGGTGCATCGCAGTAAAAGGCTGCGCTTGGCCGCGGTAGAGACCCACTGAAAGGAATCGGAGGAGACGTGTTCGGAAAAATATTTTCGATTGGTGGGGCTGTTGCATTTGGCGCCCGTACGTGACGTCCTGCATAGAGGAGTCTGTAGCGTACGTACGTAGAGGAGTCTGTAGCGTACGTACGTAGAGGAGTCTGTAGCGTACGTACGTAGAGGAGTTTGTGGCGTAGCGTACGTAGAGGAGTCTGTAGCGTACGTACGTAGAGGAGTCTGTAGCGTTCGTACGTAGAGGAGTCTGTAGCGTACGTACGTAGAGGAGTCTGTAGCGTACGTACGTAGAGGAGTCTGTAGCGTACGTACGTAGAGGAGTCTGTAGCGTACGTACGTAGAGGAGTCTGCGCCGTCTTACAGGCGGCTGGTGTAGAAGATGTTAGTTGGAGCTTGGACCTCACATAAGACACACTCTTGCGTATTATGCTGCATCTGTTGAAAGAATCTGGACGTCATCTATGTGGATTTCTTATGAAGAATACCCTTCCTATGTCCTTCGGTATATTTTTTGAGAAGCGGCAGCCGAAGATATCAACCGCCTTCTCACGTACGCCTCCACACCCGAAAATGCGCAACAGCATGGACAACGGTCCATGTTACGATACAACGCATTCCATATGCACTTTCAAGACAGTTTCGGGTCAGGACTGGGTCTAAAGCAAGGTTTATCTCCACTGGAACAAGGTACGCTTTGCACCGGTAATCCACAGCCTCGACGGGAGCGCAAGGACAATGAACACTGGCAATGATGTAGGTATGCACAGGTCTGGTGTATATGGCTTATTTTGGGGAATACATGATTCAAGTCAGTTTTCTAGCCCCTTTCAGTCATAATTTCATGCAAGCGCGTCTCTTAAAAGATTAGTTGGGTGCTGCTTTAAATCGCCAGTGGACTCTGGAGACAACACGTGATCTATTGGCATCACGGCATGCCATAAGTCTGATCCGTCATTGAACAAATTTAACACTCACCTGAGCAGACTGGATAAACTCTTGCCACCACGAAACATTAAACAACGATTCTGTCGTTAATGTTAAAACATGCGCTCCAGACAGCGCGAAGCAAAAAAACTAAAAATAAAAGCCCGGCATGGCAATAGGTGCCACCAGGTGGCAACTTTGTCGATATGTGCTATTATGACCGTTAATGAACATAACCTGTGTTGTATATTCCAGAAACCTTTTAAAAATTAATTAAAAACATGCGATCAACGCATGGTTCGGATTCGGCAGTGCACAACCGACGGCCGTTCCGCCATGGCTCCCGGTGGGTGAAGAGGGAGCCTCTGCTGGCTTCCCAACTGTTTTTGTAGAGCAAAAATACCCCCCCCCCAAAAAAAAAACACGAAATCCCCTCTCCCGTTGTGGCCTCCGATCCGCAGCAGCTGTTTTGCAGCTTGTGCCTCCGTCACTTTAAGACAGTGCCCGCGGCTGGTTTGTCATGTCGGGTCAGATGAGGTCAAATCACGTATCTTTGGTGTATATGGACCGCCTCGCGCAGACGGACACACTCGAAAGTTGGACGAATTCTGGAGCAGGAGATGCATCAATGTTATCATTTTATCATGCACTTTATAGGGTCTTGGAAAATGCCCTCAAAAGTCGAAATCGGAGGTGTTGGGCCCAACCGACACCTAGGCTGGCCTGCTGCGGGACTGGTTACACCGCAAGCAGAACCATCATTTAAAGCCTCTGAGCTTATGCAAGGCGGAAGTGGTGCAGGTCACAAAAGACTTCAACCCGCATGGTACTCATCACCCCCATCACACACTATGACAAACCACGGCTAACGAAGCTTGTATTCAGAACCGAGCAAACAACAGCGCGTGCATGGCAGCAAGGTCATCCCGTCGTCAGGCAATCTAAAAGGAACGGAAGCCTGCTGCATGAAGCGACGCATGGCATCTTATGCCGTAAGATGCCTTATCTATAGCATGGCATCATCATGGCATGGCATCTTAGCCGAGAGCTGAACAAGAGCGCAGGCCGCCGCCTTCCAGAACTTACGGAGCAATTCGACCGCATTACGTGAGTCGTGATAGCCGGACAAACCGGACAATCATTCGGCGACGGGAAGCATTCCAGGAAAACATGTGTATGAATCACAAGGGGATCCAGGATTCCGTAGCGTTTAATGCTGAGGGGATCCTGGGATCTTTTCCTCGGTGCCCAAGCACATGTTTTATTCCCAGGGAAGGAAGAAGCACGATCGAACAAATGTCACGGCAAAGGTCATAGCAAATCGGATATTCGCAGCAAATCAAGCTCCGTTGCAATACAGGAAGCACGTAGCAGCACCGCGCGCTGATTGTAATTACAGTCTCAGATGATCAAGATCGCACACAGCACAATAACAGTCACAAGTCATCAAGTCGCTGGTGCGGTGACGCTGCGGCAGCCAACGTTCATCAGCGGGAGCTGTGTCTCTGCATGTTTGTTGCAGAAGCTCATTGCATCCCCCAACCCAAAACAAGCATCGCTCGTGATCAGCGGTGTTTGTCGCTTGGCCCAAGGTTTGCTCAGCACCGGAGGTGTGTTGGTGGCGGACTCGGTCAGAAAAAAAGCCACGGGACAGGACCACCGGATCTAACCGGCTCTGAAACAGACCACCGACCAATATGAGGGTTTTCCACACAACAAGTTTGGTTGAACTCCCCCCCCCCCCCCGTGCAGACACTTGGCTGCAGGGGAGATGACAAAGGTAATCGATTCAGTTACGCTACAGGCGACCTCAATATCTCACAGCTGCCAGAGCGTATCCAGCAGCAGCCTTATAGGATGGCAGACTGGACACCGTGGATGACCAGGCGGCACGGGAAGCAGGGGCAAGGGTCTACGGTGGAACAATGCAAACAAAGCCTGAAAGAGGTGAGCACGGACGTAGAGCGCAGACGAGCAAACAACATGGATCGGGGAAGAACCAAGCCAGCTTGCAAACAAGCAGACAAACTCACGTACGTCTCCTGACCTGAGGAGTATAATAATGCCAGTTAGCAGAGCGATAGACAGGAAGCAGGACAGAGCGCCCCGTTTCCCATTTATCGCCCCCGAAAATTGCATTTCCTCGTTGCATAGCAGGCATTACTGCCATCTTAGAAAACACTTACTCGAAATGTTGCGCACGCATCTTCCAAATATGTTCACGAAGCCTGGCGAGCACCTAAATCTGACCGCTGCAAGAATCGAACCTGGAAAGAGACGCAGGGGTTGCTACTGCCTTTTTGCTTCCCGCGAAGCCACAACAAAGTAAATGTACTAAGGCCTACGGCATACGGAATGAAAGACGTGGTCTTGGTTATGCATTTGTTCCAGTATCCATCGAATGCATATTGCAGTAATGATAGTTTGCATCGGTTTTCTTTTTACCTCAACTAAATAACATGAAAACTGCAAATACTACTATTTGATTGAACAAAACTTTTAATTATGAGACAATCATAAGCTAAATAAACGTAACTTTACGTAGGACCAAGGTAGACGTTGACATAAAAACGTTATGCTCCATACTCCGTGCTGCAGCGGAAACGTAAGTGTTTGATACTCTTCAAGGCCCATTTCTTTCTACTACTCTCCCAACCACCCCAATGAGAGCCTCTTTCGAAAATCATTTTGCACCTGCGCTTTAGCATTTTTTGTCGCATCTCTAATACCCTGCAGTGCTGGGCCCTTTCGAGCGTCAACTTGTATACGGCAGTTTTTTCAAATTGCAAATTTTTCAAAATTATGTTTGTGTTATTGATATTCGCGGGCGTAACCCTATTATGGAGCAGCGTGGCCTTTTCGCAATGTCTTCATAATTTTGTGGCAATTATTTGCGATTTCTTCTATAGTTGTCTCCATTTGTTGTGCGTTTCCTTCATGCCAAATTGGCATTCCAACGGAGATGTTGTCGCGTAGCAAAACACACGCAAACGGCGTTGAATATCATCAGTTTGGCTACACCGCAACAATATCCACACATCGCCTCTTAGGCCCTGTGACCGCCACAAGGCGCTCCTATCGCTACCAAACAGTGCTGGCACGCAACGACACGTCAAACTCAGCTGAGTCGCGAGCATACCTGGGTTACCCAGTTGTAAGCGTTTGGCATTCACGGGGAACGTGCTGAACAGCAGCGCACCGCAAACCAACAGCACCAGAATAATCTTCATCTCGACGGCACGTGTCCAGCTCTTCACACGTGCCAAGTCTTGTCTGATCTCGACGCTGGAGGCTGTTCAGTCCGGCAGATCTGGACACTGAACTCGGTGTGAGGAGGCTCTGCGCTGTTACAGCCTGCTATAGCTCGGCAGCTGTCCACGATAGCAACATCCGGGACCTGCTCCGGACTGTGCCGGGGCGCACGAAGGCCAGCGGCCGGGTGCATGGCGAGGCGGCGCTTACGACGCGCAGACGATGCTCGCAGATGTGCATGCTATCCAGCTGGGAAAAAACAGGGGACGGACGGAGTAGCGCGATTCGTCGCTGACGTTTGACTCGAGCGTTGCGAACAGCGCCGGATTCGTGGTTGCTGTCCACAACTTGCAGTCGACAACCAGCGATTTGCATCGATTTAGTTAACGCGCGATTGATGCATGAATGATATGAATTGATACCTGCATGAATTGATATCTGCATGCAAGTAATAACAACGGGGAGCAAAGAACGAATCCACATCAGGCAGTGAATCCAGCGACAGACTCGGCCACGGGCAACTAACTGGATCGCTGCAAGAGGGGTAGGATACATGGACGTGGTTGAGGCTCGCATTCAAAAATCCATAGCTTCTTCAGCCACGTGACGCCCAGCTCATGCTCGCATACGCGCATGGAGTCGCAAGTGACAACAATGTTATCCAAAGGCAACAACGTTGTTCAAAGACAACAATGTTGTTTTAGACACAACCGTTTCAGACGCTAAACTGGCCTTGAACTGCCTTAGCCTTAGCTTAAGCCTTAGAACTGCCTTGAAGGAAAGTTAGGGTTATGCACATAATCTGAACAATGCAAAGGATGTTATGCAGCTGTGATATCGCGGACAATGCACATCGCTCGGTAATCAGTTATACCAAGGTCGGAATCACATTAAATGGAATGTTCTATGTTTGTATGGGGCTTGAAATAAAATACCCATATTGAAGAACTTTCGATGCAATTCATGGCATGCTCTTTACAAGACCTAAAACCCCCTGGTCCATGGGCTTTAAGACAGGAAAGATCTGGGAGAGTAATTGTGAAAAAGTATTCCGAGGTCACCTTGGCATTCATGATGTCATAATGACGTCAATCAAATCCTGTCATTTCATAAGCCATTTGGCGATCAAGGCCTATAAAAATATAATGATCGAGTCGTTCATATCTGGCGTTCGTGAGCACGATTTCCAAATATAACGGCCGTTACTCAGCTCTCAATCAGTGTTGTGCAAGGTGCCATGACGTAATCAAACCATGACGTATCGAGGAGCATATTCACTAAACAAGAAAATTGTGTAGTCCAGATCAGTCTTTTCTGCTAAAAAAGATACCAATAGCTATAAGTGAACCTGCACCATTATATCTAATGCTTGCTTTAATATATTCAAATGTGAAAGATTCACTTTAAGCCGTTCCTGGGTTCGTACCACCAATACCACTCATTGGTATACCTTAGGACATTTCATTGTCAAATGACTCACGGTGAGCTCGTTACGGAATCAGTTCGGATTCGATGCTCGGCCATCACATCATAACTCAGCACATCACCTACCTCAGCACATCACATCATAACTTAGCACATCACCTTCCTCAGCACATCACAGCATAGTTCAGCACATCACATCATAACTCAGCACATCACATCATAGTTCAGCACATCACAACTCAGCACATCACCTACCTCAGTACATGACATCATAGTTCAGCACATGACATCGTAACTCAGCACATCACCTACCTCGGTACATCACATCATAGTTCAGCACATCATACATATCATGTCATAGATTCTGCTGAAACCTGCAAACATACAAAAATCTGTGTATGCATCACTGCAGAGACAGGCCGCGTACAACCAACCATATTACTTACCATACCAGCAGGGTCCCGCCATCTTGAATGGGGCGCTTCGGAGCAGAAACGTCGCTCTCCAAAACGGATTTGTACACAAACAATAATTTTGTTTTAACCCTCGCCCTGCATCTCCATTTTTCATAACGCGGACTGATAGGGGGGGGGGGGGGCGGGAGGGTCGATGCGACTCCGTGCCGTTTTCAAACTATGAAAGATAGAGTTTAGCGAGTACAGCAGTGGTTTGGCCTCAACAAATTTTCGCAAGTGGTATTAAGTTTTATGTTGCTAAGTCAAAAATTAACCCCATTATGCCAGGTCAAATGTTAAATTTGCTCGAAAACGGCACTTTTCAGCTTCAGAGGTTCCAAAACCACTTTATTAGATGGCGTAGCGTTTTAGTCAGTGTAACGTCTCTCGTGCGTCGGGAGCGTCACAGATACAAATATAGAGTCCTTCCAATTCACAACACGCGGCGCGAAAGCTCGGTACATTTCGCCGGTCATCCGACATTTTTCCTGGCCGGTGGTGCTTTGATATCCGTATACATGCTAACCATTCGCCGAGAGCGAACGGACAAGCCACTCCAGATCTTACCAAATCTGCATTTAAGGTGTGACTGGGTGGTTTTAACGGTCTTGGGTGGGTGTGCAATCTCGTAAAATTCCTGGCTTTCTGTGTAAAATAACTTTGACCTAAATAATTACGAAAAATTGCAGGTATGCAAATGCATTCTTGGCGTCCAATCTGCGCATGGGTTATGCAAGTGGGAACAGAATAGATCGGACACAAATAAATAAGTACCGACCTAATGCCAAAGACATCGTGCTTATTCTTTGAGATACATTCATCCGGGAGGAGAAAAGAAAGTAATCTATGAGCATTCGGCAATCTTTGTTCTAGCAGACATCTAGGAACAGATCAGTGGAAGCAACATCCTTATCAGGCTGGCTGACTAAGTAAACAGAAACTCCAGTGTTACCACCAGCGAGTTCATCTTCTTAGTTTTCTCATACAGGAGATTAAATTTATAAACCATGAGGTGTGCTTTCTACCACCTACAAAACATGCTGCTGCCTACATTTTCAACTCTGAAATGCAATACCACCCACTGGGCCTAAATTGAGTTGCTGGTAAAATCAGGAGTAATGACAAACATGTGATGATAAGATAGGTTAGTGAATTATCAAACATTTTGGTAAACTTGCGAGGAATGAGAGTTCTACTTCTTCATGGCAGCATATATGAGTATCACTCTTTCATACCAAGGTGTGGATGTTATCTGTTCATCAGAAAATATGATTGCGGAATAAATTGCTGAGATATGTACTAGACAGCCCGTTCATGAATTACTTGTAATCAAAACCACTGTATCTTATTGGTTTAAGTGGTTGGTCGGTTTCTGAGCTGTTGTTTCCATTGAACATATTACTGATCTTCTAGTGACAATTTCTGTTTGATTGGGTTTCAATCCGTTCAACCCGTGTGAACCGAAAATTTGCAAAATCCGGTCCAGTCTTGTCCGTGTTTCGGTGGCAATTTCTGATCCAGTCCAATCCCGCCAGCGGACAGATCCCCAACCTGTGGATTGATCTAAGTCGTGCAGTGTTTTAGTGGCGGCACAATGGCACAGCCCCGGAAACCTCGGATATCCAGTGGCATACCATCGCACCGCCATCAGTCAGATGCCGCCGGTGGTGCCAGGCCTGTGCTCCGCATTGCCTTTGACTCGCTCGTGACAAACTTGACACACACTTCGTCCGGCTACTTCTACGGCATGTTCGGTCACGACTCTCACTGCTCCAATGGTGACTCGCTACAGGAATGAGGCCTACAAAAATTTCAAGTTCAACCTGTAGAGCGAACGCAATACCCTCTTGATTAACATGCCACCTTTTGTTTGCCAATAGTATTTTTTCTTCTCCACGCTGCACTTATTCTAAGAGGTTTTGACCCTTGCACGGACTCGGTGAGAGACGGCTGCCACCTCGTGATAAATATCGTTTCCGTTCTTACCAACGCTGCATGTTGCTAGGATCTCGGTCATACATGTGTGCGTGGTGATGCTTTAAGCATGGGAAAATCATTGACGAAGGCGGGAATTTCTGATGTGCGCGTATCAATAACAACTGATAAGTAATTGTCCCTGTAACTACGGCAGTCGTGTAGGCACCAACATTGTATTCGTAGAACCACACGAAGTCTCTTCACACGCAGATCGTGGCGCCCAATACGACACTTCTCCAAGAAACCGCATGAGAACCACGCCATATGAGTTCAGCACGCATTACAGACAACCCAGGACGCTTTTCCTGAATAGCCGTCATCCATGTATTGGACGCAAAACGCGACTGCCAAAGCTCATCTGGACGAAACTTTTGCAATTTTGCGGCGATGTAGGTGCAAAGGTTAATCCTCGCTCTCTGGCCGGGACAAGTTTCTTTTTGCGACTTTAATCAAGCCTCGGGCGCAACAGCCAGCCATGAGCCGCCTTGGAAAGAATGACGGTGAGGTTCGAGCCTGTACTAACCAAAGCTCTATCAGGACGGAGTTTAAGGCGGGGAGGCGAGGAGTTCGATCGGAGTTTAAGGCGGGGAGGCGGGTTCGATCTGAGAAACTTTTCGGGATGATGTGAGCAGGGGCGCGAATGAACACTAAGCCACCTGTCCTAACTGGACAGGAGGGAAGTTCCGGGAGTTAAAGGATCCGCGGCGCGAGCTTTGGATGAGAGTCACATGTGGTGATTGACATGGGGTCCACGGCGCAAATGAAATGATTTGATAGTACAGGACAGGTCCACAGCGTAAATAAGCAATCAAAACCATCTCGCACGCTGCAAAAATAAAACTAATCCATTAGCAGCCATGGGACATGCGGTAGTGTCTTTCCTCCAAGTTTCACGACAATGTCATCTTGAGCATTGACGCACTCCCGCACCCACTTCTCTATGAAATCCCATCCATTCGGCCAGGCGATTTCTGATAGCGTCCACACAGAATGTTTTGTTGCCGACGTTTCTCAAACTCAGCCTTGATACTGACAGCCTGGGATGTTGCAAAGCGTCGTAGCAAATGTCTTGAGCGTACCATGTGACAACACCAAGCCTCAATCTCAGACACGCGTAGACTCACTATCAGGCACGCGAATCCTCACTGTCGGGCACGCATGGCCTCACTCTAAGACACGCGTAGCCTCACTCTAAGGCACATGTAGCCTCACTCTTAGGCATGCGTAGCCT